ACCCGAAAGCACCAAACCCCAAACCCAAAAAGCCTCCACTCTAAACCCCAAACCCCCCTCAAAACAAAAACAAAAAAACACCCAACACTCCTAAGTCGTTCCTTGTCGCACATCTTCTCGACGACCTCCAGGGCATTCGCCAAGACCGAGGTAGTGGGCCGCTGGCCTCCACGCAAAACAAGTTCCTTAAGATATTTAAGGCCATTATTCTTTTGGGGTTTAGGTGTAAAAATCATCTTTAAGGTTCTTTTTCTTTTTTTAGGGTTTAGGGTTTAGGGGTTTAAGGTTCTTGTTTTCTTTTTAGGGTCTAGGGTTTAGAGGTTCTTGTTTTCTTTTTAGCGTTTAGGGCTTAGGGGGTTCGGGTTTTGGGGTTTAGGGCGTTTGCGGTCTGGGGGTCTTCACCGAACACAGACAAAAAGGAGCCCTTCTGAGATGTATGGGATCCTTTAAGGGATGGAAGATCCTTAAGGGTTTCGAGTTTAGGGTTGAGCGAGAGCGTAAGTTTAAGGAATCTACCAGGGTTTAGGGTTTCAAGGTTCCTTAAAGCCGCTCAAGGATCCTGCCACAGGTCCCTTTGACAGGATCTACAACTCTCCCTCTCCCTCGCTCTCGCTCTCGGGTGTCCATTACGGGATCCTTTTAAGGGCTCCCCTAAACCCTAAACCCTAAACCCTAATCCCTAAACCGCTCCCCTTAGTGGATCCTCTTCAGGGATCTAGGATCCCTTAAGGGTTCCTGTCACGGCTCCTTCCTGGGATCCTTTAGCCGGTGCCCTTAAAGGATCCTGAAGAGCTCCTATAAAGGGAACTCCAGAAAGTTGGAATATGGTTTCAGGGTAGGGTTTAGGGTTTAGGGTTTAGGGTTTAGGGTAGGATACCCTATAATTTACCATAGAAGGGTTAGGATACTCATATTCCAACTTTCTGGCTTTTACTATAAGGGATCGGCTCCTTTAAGGGATCCTTTAAGGGACCGAGTCGGGCTCAGGGCTCCTTTGAAGGGCGGGCGGTTCGCGGGGGTGTGAGTCCCTACCTGGAGGCTCATGTTACTTCCAACACAACTATGACAGCGCAAACAACTCAAACAGATGTCCAAAAACTGGAGGTACCGAGGAAGGGGGTGGGATACAAGTCCAGATATAGGCAAGTTCTAATTGCCACTGTACCACCCTCAAAAGCCTTAGCAACCTCGGAGGCCTCAAAAGGTGGGATGAAGGTAGGTAGGATTAAGGATCCCTTATATAAGGACTCTTATTTGGGAATATCCCACCTACCTTCATCCCACCTTTTGAGGCCTCCGACAACCTTAGCGAAACCCACAAAGCTCGAGACATAGCGGTTTGAGGACCTGGTGCCGGCGTGAAGAAACTCTAAACCCTAAACCCTAAATCCTAAACCCTAAACCCTAAACCCCTAAACCCTAAACCCTAAATCCTAAACCCTAAACCCTAAACCCTAAATCCTAAACCCTAAACCCCTAAACCCTAAACCGTTAACTTGCTTCTTCAAGTCGGCTCGGGGTTGAGGATCCGCTGTGGTGCCTAGGGTTCCCTTTAAAGGCTTCCTTAAAGGGATCCTTGGGCATTTGGGGGTTCTCCTTAAAAGGATCCTTAAAGGGTTTCTTTAAGGGATCTAAAAGGGGTGGCGGCAAGGATACTTAAAGAAGCACGGGACTTAGCAACTAGGGTTCCTTTAAAGGGCCTACTGTAAGGGATACCATAAGGGATACTATAAGGGTACTAGAATATACTTAAAGGACCATGGGACTTAGTAACTAGGGTTATAATTAGGCATTAGGGTAACATTATACTTATAACTACTTATAAGCCCAATTATGGTACCTATAACCTTACTTACTAAGTCCCATGATCCTCCAAGTAGACAGCTGCAGCCTGAGTTGGATACAGCAATCTTTACAATTCAAGCGCTTGTCTGTTGGTCTACCTTCACCCAGCCTTTGTTAAGATGCTCGAAGAAGCGGTAGAATCGCGGGAGCGTCTTGCGGAGGTCATAGTACTCCTGGCAGCCGAATCCCAAATCCCGAACGGGTGTCGAGAGCCTTTTCAGGTAATTAGAACCTTTGACTGGGAACCACCAAGTCCGCAATTGAGGCTGATCTATAAGGGGTGAAACAGGAGCAGACCAGCAGTAGCTAATCGCTATCATAGTCATGAGACCACGAAACAGCATGCAACGAGTTCTGCATGCAAAATACACCAAGTCCGAACGGTGCATCTTCGGATTCTAGCAAATTGAATTGCTGTTTTGGGGGCGGGTGTCTAATAGAGTCCAATATAGGGACCTTAATAAGTAGAATAGGGTTTTGGGGCCCACTATACTATAACGTAGAATCAGGAATCCCCAAAACAGTTTTGGTAATTATTCGGCCCCCTATAATATCTTCATGATCCTACTATCTGGGGTCTATACTCGGCCTTTGCTCTGAAACCAGTCTCTGAAACGATGAACAAGCCCTAAACCCGAAACCTTAACCCCCCCGATCCCCTAAGCCATACAGACATCTTGAAGCCTGAAGCTCTGAATTCAACACCCCAAAGCCCTAAAGCAAATAGCCAGAAACTCCAATATCCTTTCAAAAAATACCTTCATAGGATCCCTGATGTCTATACTGAACTTAGAACCCTAGCAAAAATTACAATTTTAGCTGTTTCTTGCGGATTATAATAACCAAAAATTGAAAATTATTTCTAAGTACCCCTAAGATGTGATTTACAGTAGGCCCTAAACCCTAAACCCCAAACCCTATAGATCCCTTTAAGGAACCCTATATAGAACCCTAAACCCTAAACCCTAAACCCTATAGATCCCTTTAAGGAACCCTATATAGAACCCTAAACCCTAAACCCTCTAGATCCCTTTAAGGAACCCTATATAGAACCCTAAACCCTAAACCCTGTAGATCCCTTTAAGGAACCCTATATAGAACCCTAAACCCTAAACCCTAAGCCCGTGCACGGTGCGCCTCCGGAACCTCGGACCGATCCGATACTCGCGCCTGCAGCTGGGCGGCATGGGTTTGAGGGTTTAGGGTTTAGGGTTCTATATAGGGTTCCTAAAAGGGATCTATAGGGTTTGGGGTTTAGGGTTTAGGGTTGAGGGTTGAGGGTTACCTTCAGGGGCTTTAAGGGTTCCTTTAAGGGGCTTTAAGGGTTACCTTATAAGGGGCTTTAAGGGTTCCTTTATGGAGTCTACCGTAAACCATAAACTTGAACCGTTCAACCTACACCTAACTTCCAAACTCTAACGTGCACGAGTGCCTCGCCAGTGCAATATGCCAAGTGCCACATCTCCTAACACCCCTAAGCCCTCCATACCTGCAATGGCGGCCTTGTTGTTGAGAACAGGGTGGGTGGGGGGCGGGGGCATATTATGGTCTTAGTACATAAAACGAACTGCTAGGGACTAATTTTGCAATTATTCAGGCTTCTACATTTTTTTGCAGGTCACTGCTGGATTCCGGTGCTGGCAGGTTCACATAGGCTTGAATGAGCAGCATCGAGGTGTCGAACTGCAGATCTGGGCTGCCCGGGAAACACCAGCTCTTGAAACCTTCAACAACTACCCACAGGCCCCAAAGTGGTTCCTTTTTGGGGATTACCTTATAGGATTCTATATACGAACCCCAAAAAAGAACTACTTCGGGGCCTCAGGGTATTGCAAACTACCTAATTGAGGAATAACCGTTAAGAAACCGTGATAGGACTCTTGAAGGCAGGTTTTTCTAATTGCCATCAAAGCTCTCCCACCGCTGGTTCCAGGGCCGCGCCCTGCACGCGACGAGCATCGTGGGTTTTCAGTTTTCAGAAAGGCCAATACTTGGAAGGGCAGGGGACTTAGTAAGTAGGTTATCAGTAGAGTTATAAGTACCCGAGATGGAGTTACCCCAACAAAAATCTTCTTACAACCTACGTACTAAGTCCCCTGCCCCTCCAAGTACGCCCCAATACTCACCTGGAGCCTCTTTCGTGCCAGGTATTTGCAGCCCAAGGCTGAACGTGCTGTAAATCGACACATCGTGCCTTAAATCTCTAATTGATACTCTTCTTGTTCAGCTCGAGCGCTTTTCTGTGTAAACGTGCGCTTTTTGATTTATAAGTGCAATCGAGACGTAAATCATCCTGATCGAGCAGATTCCTGTAGTCCTGTAGAAGTTATTGCCTGCCAAAGCTCCAGGAACAGCTCTGTGATCGTCGGCGAGCTTTTGCTCGAGAGTCGTGGGCAAATAACTATATAGGATAAAGCCGTGATCCTGTAGACTTCACTATATGCTTAATATATAGTACTGGTGTATTTCTGAGCTTTGGGATATATACAGCTTAGAGTGTATTATATATGTATACAGATCATATCGATAATAATTATTCGAAAATCTCTTTGGTCTGAGATTCCGGAACCCTGCCTGGTGCACCAAGCGAAACATACTTGCATAGTGGATAAGCTTGGACAACTGCCCCTTGATGGTCGATGGCCGGTTACTTCGTGAAGTCTGTGCGCCCTCTTACACAATGGGTCGAGTCTTGCGAGCTTCAGAGACTTTAGGGTTTGAGGCTAGGAGTGTGCAGGATGTATGTGTGGCCACGCAGAATCTGGACCACATAATTCCCGATGTAGCTGCCTGTGCCGAGAGGTATGGCGAGCTGATGCGGTGGATTGGGGATTGGGCATCGCCGAGGGGTGCCCCTGCACTGCTTTGTTGCAAAGGCTATTGTGCTTGCATGATCGATTCTCGCATTGTCTCTCTGATTGCTGCTGTATGTTCGAGCTACAGCCTACAGCATTTTGCTGGGGTCCATCGGTGCGGGTTCCACTTACTTAAGTGCTTCAGTGCTTTGGTCGAAGCTACCGCTTGGGATCCTAGCTAGTTTGCTGGGGTCCATCGGTGTGGGTTCCACTAACTTAAGTGCTTCAGTGCTTTGGTCGAATTCAAGATATCGCTTGGGATCCTGGGGTCGGTGTGGCTTAGCTTCGGAGCTGCTGGCAATGGATAGTCCGGTTGTCCGCAGCTGGATGAACAACCATGTCATATTGAATCGGGCCAGTGTTGGGACTTTGTGTATAACCCCGAGGGAATTTCTATCCCGCACAGACGTCGTGCTGAACGGCGAAATATTGGCACCGATCATCAAGTACCATGGTCTTCGGCCATCCATACATGCCATCCGTTCCGAAGTTGCCCACTTTTTCCATGTTGGACGACCCCTCGGCAAGCAGCCTGTGAAGCGAAACTCGACTGAATGTTATTGTTGCAACTTTAAAGCTCCATATGTTCACACTCATCCAGCGAGATTCATCCGAGGAGATGTGATCCACGCCCAGGCTTGGGTCCTACGTCGTTTGATCTCAATCTTTTCGAGAAGCGCCAAAAGGGGGCATTACCCCCGGGAGCGAACGGTCCAGAAGCTGTTCCATGCTGCTGGAATCCCTCTCCCCCCAAATCCTCGAAGCAAGGCTACATTGAGGCAGAGTATCGTTCGAGACCTTTGGCCTTTTAAGCCTTTTGGCAAAATAATACATCATGAGTACCTATGACGAACCCCCGAATCCTAGGATCAAAGTCCTTTGACGACTCGTCGGACGATGAGGGCAGCGAGGGTGCTGAGAGTGAGTCGCTCTTCACAGAGGCCAGAGCCTATGCTGAAACTGCTACCTATAATTAAACCTCATCTTCACACACATACATTGCGAGCAAAACTTGCAGGACGAAGCTCTTGATGATTCGGAAACCGGTGGCTTAACTATTACATATTCGATTGGCTGCATGTATTGCAACTTTCGTCTTTGATCGATCGATAGACACCTCATCCCAGGCATCGACAGCACGGCGGGCAGCAGCCTCTCCGAGCGAAGGCTGAGCAGCGGCAGCCGGGGATCTTCGGAGAATCCTTGGGTCAGGGATTGCACAATCACTGGCAAGGAAGTTCCCGCAACACCACCCGACAAGCTTGTGGAACTGTCGGCAGAAGCATCTTCGAGCAGTGGCGATTGCAGCCTTACGAACCCAAGCTCCCCAGCTTCCGCATTGCCAAAGAGATCTTAGGTGGGATTCATTACAAGTTTCAAATTCCATGGTAGCCCCGAGCCTTAAAAAGATTCTTGAACCATTGAGGCCCATTCGATAGCTTTGAGGGAGGCTTGTGCATATCTATAATTCGGAGATCACAAACCTGTCGATATATATATATATATATATATATACTTATATATACTTATATTTATATATATATATATCGATAGGTTTGTGATCTCCGAATTACCCTATAATGAACAATGTCATATAATGATATAATTAAGATATCCCTGTACTATAATTATTAAAACCCAGTCCCTCTTATCCCTAAACCCTATTCTTAACCTTAAGCCCTAAATCCCGGACCCTCCTAACCCGAGCCGGACCCTCTTTAACCCTAAACCCCGAGGCCTAATCCCTAAGCCCTAAACTCCAAGTTGGAACCTTAATCACCACCTCATCCCAGGATCTTCCGATGACGACGACTTGCTCCAAGAGCTTTCGAAACAGCAGGAGATTCTGGAGGAGCTGCAGCTTCTGCTACGACTTCAAGAAGAGGAGCAGAATCTTGCTGAGCTTCTTGCTAGCTTGCATCATGACTCCGTGCCGGCACCCTCGATTCCACACCCTTTGTCATGCTACTTGGCCTGTCGAGCTCCTAATATGGTCAGATGCTAGCTAGAGCCCAATCATCATTAGCCCAAACAACCCAAAGAATGGCCGAGGGTCCGATCATCAAGATACGCTGCCGTTCGACCTCGGTGAGTCCGTGGCTGTTGAGGAATCCATGGTTGAGACACGAGGTTTTTAGCTTTCCAGGTTTGGTATATTAATATTTCGAACATGATAGAACGAATCCGTTAATCTTCCTAGCCAACCCTCAGGCTTCAAGTGTCGCAGAAGCAGCAGCAGCAGCAGCTTCCAGAGATGTCGCTACAGCAGACCAGGGTTTGTGCGAACCGAGCATCACCGAAGCATTGGAGGAGGCCCCGATCGCAGACCAGGGTTTGTGCGAACCGAGCATCACCGAAGCATTGGAGGAGGCCCCGATCGCAGACCAGGGTTTGTGCGATCCGAGCATCACCGAAGCATCGCAGGAGGCCCCAATCGCAGACCAGGGTTTGTGCGAAGCGAACATCCCCGAAGCATCCCATGAGGCCCCGATCGCAGACCAGGGTTTGTGCGATCCGAACATCCCCGAGGCATCGCAGGAGGCCCCGATCGCAGACCAGGTTTCCTGCGAACCGAGCATCACCGAAGCATCCGAGGAGGCCCGAATCGCAGACCAGGTTTCCTGCGAACCGAGCAGCCCAGAAGCATCCGAGGAGGCCCCGATGATAGACCAGGGTTTGTGCGAAGCGAACATCCCCGAAGCATCCGAGGACGCCCCGATGATAGACCAGGTTTCCAGCGAAGCCGGCATCACCGAAGCATGCGAGGAGGCCCCAGCCATCAACGAAGCCAAGCCATGCACAGATACCGAACCTGAAAGCTCCCACGAAGAGGACACGAAGTACTACAGTGCCTCTCCTGAGAAGACCGCCGTCCTGCAACGAAAAGACAAGCTTCGACCATCTGTGCTAGAGGACTTGAAGCCCATCTCGCCGCAGGAGCAGAGCAAGCTCGCACGCACAGCCAAGGATGGGGAGGGCACGGGCGAGGAGGATGATGAGGAGGGGAGCTGTGAAGACACTGCCCGAAGAGGCAGGGGAAGGGGCAGAGGCTCCGGTAGAGGTCGTGGGGGTAGGGGTCGGGGTAGGGGCAGAAACAACAAGGCCAGCAAGCAGCCGGCCGAGGAGCCGGCTCGGAAGCGGAAAACTACGGGTTCTTCTGCCACCAGCAAAGCCAAGGCTCGCAAGAAGGATGATGAAGCTCCGGAGCCAACGAAGCCCAAGGCCAAACCCAAAACCAAGCCGACACCGACAGCTGAGAAGGATCGCGACGAGGACGAAGCAGTAGAGGCCCCGAAGCCCAAAAGCAAGCCGACGCCGAAAGCTGAGAAGGAGCCTGACGAGGACGAAGCAGTAGAGGCCCCGAAGCCCAAGCCCAAGAGCAAGCCGACGCCGAAAGCTGAGAAGGATCGCCACGAGGACGAAGCAGTAGATGCACCGAAGCCCAAGCCCAAAAGCAAGCCCGGCCGAGCAGCCAAGAAGGATCCTGAGCAGAGCACAGCAGTAGAAGCCCCGAAGCCAAAGAAGTCAGCAAAGGCCAAGGCCAAGCCCACAGTTTCGCCACGCAACAAGAAGGAGAAAGCCAAGGATAGCAGTGATGAGATCAAGGCCAAGAAGTCTCGCAAAAGCATTGCTTATCACAAAGCACGAAAAGAAGCAGAAGATCTAGGGCTATCTCCAGGGACTGCTAAGACTGCAGGCAAGAGAGACACTCGATTCATTTTGATTATTATGAAACAATCAAAACCTCTACTTTAAATTATAATACATACTCTAAATACTATAACGATCAACCTGAAACCACAAACCGACCCTACAGCCTAAGCTTAACCCGGACCTGAATGGTACACAACCTAGTCGTGCAATTCTTTAACTTCGCATCCGAGGCTTATGCCGAGACGGACTAGCTGCTAGCTACACCGACTTCCTGATGGCACAGTATCACGGCCCGGGGGAGATCGTGATTATCTGCGATGCTGTCGATTTTTGATATGAAACGTGTTTGTGCTGCTCAGCCAATAGAGCTGTTTATCTTTCAATGGGACAAGAGCTCATACGCCTAGATATGTGCTCGGTGGGCCACATTGCCATGTGGGTGCCTGCTTTGCTTGTGTGATCACGAGCTTAGTACAGCAGGTTCCTCACGATGCAAAATCCGTTACGATACGCAGCCGCCGGAATGAAAGCTTTGAGTGCAGCCTGCTGCTTGCTAGACAAGTTATCGGTCGACCATTCTTCACAACCAGCAGAAGTGTCAATGCTTCTATGGCAGGTACTGAACCATGCCCCGAGTTGAGGGCTGGGCAGCCCGCTCCGTTGCACTTGGAGGAGGTCGCCACCCTGCCGTGCATGCATAAGTTCTGTGACTTTCAGTGATTCTGCTGTTTGAAACGAGGTCTTGAAAGCATAGGTTCTGCCATTCGCAGCTAGTCAGGAGCTGTACTTAACCTTAATCTATAAATAATCAAGTAAACCCAAACCACAGACCCCGCACCGCCAATCGCCCGAATTGTTCGCTGGGACTGTGCTGCTGTGCTATTACTATCTGCCTGTTCAGGAACCGGCCCTTTGCCCAAGCCAGCACTGTCTGGCTGAGCGAATATAGAACCCACAGTCTTAACACCCAAACCTCCAATCCCTGGCAAAACCCTAAACCCATAAACTCAGAACCCTAAACCCTAAAGACACACCCAAACCGATCCTCAAGCAATGCAATCAACTTGACCAGGTACTCCAGGCCATTGCAAAACATCCTAACTAGCTAAAAGCTTACCATGGAACGGTCTGCTGTTGTCTCCCTCACTTTGGAGAACCGTCGCCTTCGGGAAGAGGTTGTGTCTCTACGTGCAGAGTGCGAGGCTCTTCGATCTGAGGTGGGTCGTATACATTCCAGGCTACGAGTCATCGACAGCCAAGTAGAGAAAGGTCTGGATCTCATACAAGAGCAAAGTACCATGTATTCGCGAGTGTGGGGCAAAGTCAACAAGCTTGCCACGAACCTTACCGATATCTTTACTTCTGCTGGGATCGATCTTCGTCTTTGCTTGTGAACAAAGGCGACATATTTGCAACTTTCAGCTGGCACACGTTTTCGGTTTGTTGGCTATTCTACTAGATAGGAGGACCCGACCCTGCAACCTTATCCCCCGAAAAGCTTCGAGATCGTATAGCTTTGCCGGCACTACGAGCTTGAAACCTAGCTTGACAAGCTAGTACCACTGGCTCCTAGGTTTGCCCAAGCCAGAACTGCCTGGCTAAACGAGTATCAACCCCTAAACACTAAACTCCCTAAACCTGAAACCCCTGAACCCTTTAAGCTCTAAACCCTAAAGGAGCTCGGTGGTCACGGGAGGTTTTATGTATATGTATATATATATATATATGTATCTATATATATATACATATATATATATACATATATATATATGTATACATAAAACCTCCCGTAACCACCGAGCCCCTTTATCTGTATATATCTGCAGATAGCTGCCCAAACCCTAAAGCCCCAACACACTGCAGGCGACACCAGCTCGACCATGGACTCGGTTCTTGTTCGTCTTCATCGCTTGGCAAGGCCGGGCTTGGAACGATGGCTTCTGGTGTGCTAGCTTTGGGGTGGTAGGCCTGCTAGGTGTGAAGAGGTCGGTTCGAGCTTGGTATATGGTGTCGGGTCTAGCTAGCATATTATTGAGTTTCTAGGGAATCAAGACTGTTGGTGTGTTACGGGCTGAGTGTCGCTGGACGTCTAGGTGGTTTTCTTCAGGTATTGAAAAGGCTCTATGGGATGTTTGCTCCGCCGATATTGTAGGGCTAGTTGATGCTGCTGGTCGGCCTGGGGAGGCCTAGAGCCTTCTGTTCGGTGGTTAACTGGCTACTTGGAGGGTCGGGGGACTTCGTAAGTAGGTATTAAGTAGACTTATAAGTACCCTAAAAGGGACCCTAATTGGGGTTATGGTATTTATAAGTCCCTAAAATAACCCAGTTACTAAGTCCCCCGACCCTCCAAGTAGGCGACAGCTGAGGGCTTCAGGGGCTTAGGGTGTATTGTTTAGGATCTAGGATTTGCCGACTTTGGGTTTTAAGCTTTGTTCCTCGGGCTCCATATCCACCTCGGTTTGCTTTTGGGTCTGGTCTAGCTACTAGCTAGGAATCTAGGCAACCCAAAGACCGAACCACTCCAAGTCTCAAACCCTGTGATTCTCAAAGTCTCAAACTCTACAAGCCCCTCTTTTAGGCGGGAGCCCGCCACCCAAAACAACGAACAGTAGTATAGCGATATGTTAATATAGAGAGCCCTTATGTGTCGACCCGCATATGCATACACACGCCTTGGTATTGGATACATGCAAACACACACGCACACATATATCTATAGATATTTTGTCTATATATATATGTATGTGTGTGTGTTCATGCATATATGTATAGTATATATACATATATATATATATATATATATATATATATATAAACATACATATATTAATATACATCCTTTGTGCAAACACATAACTTATAGCTACCTCCATCTCTCTGTGTGTGCCGTCCATGTCTATGCATATTTCCATAGCATGTCATGTCAACCCGTGTATATACCCGTGCATGTATGTATATGTATGTATGTATGTATATGTGTATGTGTGCCTGTATATTATGTGCATGCATGTGTGTGAGTCTACATGTTGTATATTTACATATCTATTTATCGATATATATATATATATATATATATGCATGTCTGCATGTATATGTATACGTATATGTAGGAGCTAGGTATGTAGGGTCGGCCGGTCCTTCTATAAAACGTGCACGTTTACAGACTCCGGGGTGGTGGTGGTGGTGGTGGTGGTGGTGGTGGTGGTGGTGGTGGTGGTGGTGGTGGTGGTGGTGGTGGTGGTGGTGGTGGTGGTGGTGGTGGTGGTGGTGGTGGTGGTGGTGGTGGTGGTGGTCGCTGGAAGACAATCTAGAAGGGGCTGGGTGGGTCTGGCAGGCCTCCGGCCTGCTTCACGGGTGGGTTGGAAAGACAAATTAGAAGGGATTGGGGTGGGCCCGGGTTCGGTTGAACCTGCTGTTCAGGACCTATCTGCTGGCACTGATGTTCCCGAGGCGAATGCTGGCAGAGAGGAGCCAAAAGGCTTTTTAAAGGGTTTAGGGGCAATTTTGGACACTTTACGTTCACTTTTGGGTTTTAGGTGCAAAAGCCACGGGCGCAATTCAGCGCCAAACGGGCGCAAATCGGCGCCAAAAACCGCAAACGGGCGCAAACCAGAAAAACGTAACGAACGCTGTATGCAATTGTGTGGTATTGTTGTGGTGAAGCAGCCTGGTCGAGCACTTTGGGAGTTGTATGCTCTGTTCGTCATCAGATCAAGGCTTCTTGTTCAGTCCTTTAGCTTCGTTGCTGCTAGCTGGTAGCACCATGGATGCTGCGAGCTTGGATGCACAGATTGAAGCACTTAGGCTGCACTTGCTGGGTACTCGTGAGCTGTAGTTGCTAGGTCGCTTTGGGCCCGGTCGGGAAGTGATGATCTTTATGTATATAGTAGAAGCCAGAAAGTTGGAATATCATTATCGTAACCCCTTTAAGGTAAATTATTAGGTATGCTACCCTGAAACCATATTCCAACTTTCTGGCTTCTACTGTATACATATATATATATATACATATATGAATCGATAGATCTATATATGTATATAGATGGATCGATTTAATGTATGGTGTATCGAACTATATAGTATATATATATATATGTATCGTTCGGATCAATATGTGTGTATGTGGTCTAGCTTGTATTCTATATCTATCTATCTATCTATATATATATATATATAGATATATAAATTTATATATATATATATAGCATATATATATATATGCTATATAATTACACGAATGTATATCGGTAAATGTGCAGATATTGTTTGCCATGTGCACTATAGTACCTGAACTAGCTGTCTTCCTCTGCATGCTTCGTACGATATCCGAATTTCACGGAATGCTAAGATCTAGTTAGATCGATGTACTAGTTTAATTCGAAGCCCTACACCCTAAACTTGCTGGCTTAAGCCCTCGACCCTCACCCTACAGCCCATAAGCCCCTAGCCCGGAACCCTAAGCTCAGGCAACCCGCCGTCGGATTGCAGCTCTGCAATCCCGCATTGGCGGGCGATCGGCTTCGGTGCCTCCCCGTCCGGAGTCAGGTGCTTCTGGGCTTTTGATTGAACGGTTCGTTGATTCTGTGATCCCCGGAGAGTTTCTGTCGGTTGGTCGAAGCCAGGTGCCGAGGAGACTATTGTTGGCGGTGGATGCAAGCCGGGTGAGAAGCCGAAGCCATCCCAGAGATCAAGGTCTATCCCACCGGTGCCAAGCAAGTGGAAACCAGAAGTTCCCTCTGTGCCTGCCTCGAAACCACCAGCACCGGTGACTTTGCCAAAAGCAGCAGCAGTTTCCGAAGTTCCCACAGGACCCGCAGCAACAGCAGTTTCCGAAGTTCCCACAGAACCCCAAGCAGCAGCAGTTTCCAAAGTTCCCGCAGAACCCCGAGCAACAGCAGTTTCCAAAGTTCCCGCAGCAACCGTGAGTCCGTCGAAAGCACCAGCAGTTTCCAAAGTTGCAGCAGCCGTGAAAGGACCCCCGTCGAAGGCACCAGCAGTTTCCGAAGTCCCCGCAGGACCCTCTTCTGCCGTCCCACTGGCTAAGGCTTCGAGCTTTGACAGTTGCTGGAGGTACTGCGAAAATTTGGCGAGCCCGGCAGGTCCGCCTCCGAAGGCAGCAGCTGCCGTTTGCAAAACACCTCCCAAGAAGAGGGCTTCTTCTGAGCCGGGGAGTTCTTCCCCGACGGGGGACACTTCAGGAAAGCCTTCCGACAGCTCCCCCAGCTCACTCAAGGTGAAGCCCCGAGCTTTG